CGCATTGTCTCTTTTCCACAAATCTGTCTAGTGGTCATAACATGTTTCAGCTTCTCTTTCCTCAAAGTATGGTAAAATAATGATGATTGTTTCTTTCTGATGTTTGTGATAAGCTGTCTCTGCGCACTCCTCACTTTCAAAACACAAGGATCGTTCTTTATAGCTGTCCAAGAATTTTCTGAAAAATCACATTTCTGGTGTCTCCGTAAATATTTTTGGCTTGTTTATTAACTGCCCTGGGTGCCTAGATACTTAAGTTTCTGTGCTTGTCCCAAAAAAAAAAACGCCACTGGCTTTTGTTAAACATTAAGGCTATATTCTTGGCTTTGATATTATCATTATTATTGTTTGTCTTCCATCATTCAGTCTGACGCCCAATTTATCACTCAATCTGTGTCGTTCTTTCTGATATCAAAACGGTGTCATCGACAATCAATACTAACAACACAGACTGGCCTAATAGTAGTTCTAACACAGATAAATATTTGTGGCAGTAATTTTATTAAGGACTCTGAAGACAGTCTACTTTTGTTGGTCTTCCACAGACATCTCAGCTGAGAATTTCTATAAAATTGCTCCCATCGAATCAGCATTGAAGGAACATTCTAAATGTAAGGATTTGTTGTGTCAGGAGCGAATCTCTATTTTCTGGATTGGTGTCTGTTGTGTGTGCGCGCGCGCGTGTGTGTAAGTATATGCGTGTGCTGACGTCCTCTTCTTCTCGTAGTCAATGCCGTGCAGTGTTGGCAGTCATTTCTATCTAGTCATATGTCTCTAGTATTTTAGATAAATGTGGACAGCGTATTTTCGTTGCCATGTTGTCAGGCTGTCCAGAATCTTATCTCTCTGTCTGCTTCTGTTTGTTTTGTTTTTTTCTCTAACTTCTCTCCTCCTCATGACTTGACCAAAGAATGTAGATTGTCTTCTTCTGATGTAGATAATCAATCTGTTATCTTCATAAGTCCATTTTTTTTTTTCATAGAGACATCTTTATTATTATTTTTATCCGCGCAGTGTTCTCATCATTCGTACATACAACCACGTCCCTTCAGCTTCCCCGTAATGTTTCACTAATCGGCCGATTGTCCATGATTTCTTTTCGTATATCAGTGTAAATTGTATACCTTATGAGAATAGCTTTAGGCACATATATTAATGCGAGCATTATTAATGATTGTTTTAGTTGTTCTAGACGCTCACCTGGGTGCTCACCTGGGAGCTTCAATACGTCTCGATATTTTTTCTTTTCGAAAATAACCTTAACTTCCAGACCGACCTAGCCTTAAATGGATACCAGGTAACGAGCTCAGAAGTAAAGGCCACCATCGAAATGTTGACCACATCAGCCACCCGGTATACTTTGGTCTATACAATATAGGTCTAGAACAACATACCAAATACGCACAAGAGTGTGGCGACGAAGCTGTTCTCCATACCTCTGTCCTATACAGCAAGAAGTATTGGCTAGATTTGATAAATAATTTTTCTGAGTTCGGATAGTTTTAATTTCCATTGACTTCTATAGAAAACCCAGGGCTACAGGAGGTTTTCTTGGCTTTTGTGTACACATAAGGACATTAGTGATGTCGGTTTTTGTAGTAATAAGCATAACAAGGATGGCGACAACGATGACTGACATGATAATAATTGTGTTGGTGATCATTGTAATGAAGCAGGCAATTGTGATGATGTGATGATGATAAAGTAAACCTCGTTAAAGGGACACGATACGGTTATTTATTCTGTTCGTGGCAAAAATATCAGGCCTCGGAGTTTTCAAGTGTGTCACGTTCAACATTCATACAATCATTCACATACACAAACCCAATTTGTGGCATTTATAAGCAATTTAGCATTGGCAAGGTAATAATAAGACCCCACCCCACGAATATTTTTAAACGGCAATAAAGTTTGAGGTGTAAAAAAAACAGCAATGATTGACACGTAGCAGCAGCTATTGCCAAACAAGTTAATAGGATGTATTATGTATCATTGCACAGTCCGATCCAAGATACCGGGAAATCAAGAGTTCGTGCTAAACCAAATATGTACTAATCGAGGACTAATGCATATAACTATAGATGTACATTCCTGCTGAGACCCTTTTGTTACTCATTTTAACCTAGTGTTCGCATTAAGATAGTTTTTCTTTACCTTGATATACTGTAATTTTATTGATAATGATGATTATGATGGTAAAACGGATAATGGTGATAATGATTATGAGGAAACTATGATGTTCTGTGCTTTATTAATATCCTACCCCAAATAGGGGAAATCCACAAGTCACGGGACAGTCTAATTTTGCATTGGGTGGTAGATAGACTGCACGCAGTCGTGGGACCTAGTCTGCACAGTCTTGTTGGACGTAGGTGTGTTGAGGTTAGAGCCAGTTATATCTGTTTTGGGGTTTTTAATAGCATCAGAAAACCAGGAAACCCAGTCTTACCACCCTCTAAAATGTCGTCATGTGACGTCATCTGTTTTAGGATATCAATAAAGCCCCTGATGTTTAATTTGAAGATGTTGATGGTAATGATGGTAATGTTGAAGGCGATGGTGGTTGCAAGAAACTGATAAATACAAAATTAGAAAGCCTCAAGAAAGTCGAAGAAATAAGAGAAAGAAGAGGAAAATATTGGTAATAACTGACTGACTGACTGACTTTCTACCCCACTAGAACATCACACAAGCGATAAACACCCGATGACACAAAGTGCCACCATGTTGATGAGGATAGCCGTGGAGAGGTCCCAGAAACCGCGTTCAGACAATTGGCCATATTTATGGCCTGCCTATATTGCTTCTCCTAGCAAAAGCCAGGGTGGGGCTTCAAATAACAAAAAATTTCGTCCTAAAAAGGACGAAACTGGAAGATGATTGGTAATAACAGTTTTAAGACACAGACAGTCAATATGTATTGAGTAAATTCTTAGGATAAACAAACAATCCCCAAACAGGCATTGAAGTTGCAAACAAATGTATTAAGGAAACCAGGACGCCAAGGAGAAACCCTGAGACGAAAATTACTGCGAGAGGTAAATAAGTTGAACTGGTATCGTCAGCCTCTGCGGTATTTACTAAATAGGGATTCTGAGCACTTATTCGCTGAATGGTTTGATTTGTAATGAGGATATTCTGTCAACTAACTAACTAAGATACTAATGGATGAAATAGAAAAAGTCATAAAGCAGTCTCCCAAATATAAAGCACCAGGAGCTGATAGATTACCAACATAAATAATTCAAAAAGCAGGTGAAAGCAGCATCAGATGGCTTCACAGAATATTTAATGCAGCATGGGTACAAAAAACTGCCCCTATTGATTGGCAACATGCAATAGGTATACCATTGTGGAAGAACAAAGGAAGCAAACGAGAATGCGGTCAATACCGAGGCATCTCTCTTTTAAGCCATGTTGGCAAAATGTATGCCAAGATAATAGAAACAAGACTGAGACCAGTGATAGAACCACAGCTGGCAGAAGAACAGATGGGATTTAGGAGAAATAGAAGCTGCACAGATGCAATCTTCACACTTAAACAGTTAATAGAAAAGAACATTGAATACAATAAGAACTTATTTGTGGCCTTTGTAGACCAGGAAAAGGCATTTGACAGAGTCGACAGACAATTGTTAGGGAAAGTAATGGCAAGATATGGAGTAAGCGAACACATCGAAGTGTGCAAAAGTTTATACAGGGATTGTAGAAGTGTAGTTAGAATAAATCAGGGAACATCTCATCCATTCACAGTAACATCTGGAGTAAGACAGGGGTGTGTCTTATCACCACTGCTGTTTATCACCTACATCGACAGTATATGCAAGAATGCCAAACCCATAAATGAAAATGTTAGTAAGATCAATGAATTACTCTTTGCAGATGACCAGGCCTTGATAGCAGACACAGCCATGAAATTGCAATAACTTCTAACATCCATGAATGAAGAATGTAAAACAAATAATATGAGAATCAACACTGATGTCATTAGGAAAAAAGAAGACAGATCTAAACATAGCAATAGAGAACAAAGGCATTTAACAGGCATCTGATTTTAAATATCTGGGAACTACATTTACCGAAGATGGGAAATTGGATAAAGAAATTAACATTAGATGCAGTAAAGCAAACCAAGTATTGGGACAGCTAGCCCCCCTCTTACAGCATAAGACAATAAAGAGACATCTTATTCAAAGCATATTTATTCCAACTCTGTGCTACCAGTGCCAGACATGGTCACTCACAACAAACCATAAAAGAAAATTAGTAACCATGGAAATGAGATGTCTGAGAAGGGCTGTACGAGTGACCATAGGAGATAAGATCAGGAATGTGATAATAAGAGAAAAAAAGTCTGCACAGAACCAATTCTAAATTACATACAAAGACAGCAAGTGAAATGGTTTGCCCACTTAGAGAGAATGCCTTGTGACACCATACCATACAAAGCATACATGGAAAGAGAAAAAGGTCGTAGAGCAAGAGGTAGACCAAGAACAATATGGAAGGATAACATCAGAGAAGCTCTACAACAGCACAATGTGCTTATGGTCGAGGCGCCCAGAAGAGTCAGAAACAGAACCTTATATCTCCCTCGACACCCACAGTGGTAAAAGAGGAAGTGAAGAAGAAGAAGAAGAACTAACTAAGAACCAGCATCCAGGACTCTGAAAATCTTCCATACACAACTCATCTCCCTTTTCAGTGCAAAGTTCGAATTTCAATTAAAGTAACACGGTTTATTATATGTCTGACTTGTCTTTTAACAAAGTGTCGGCCAGCTCCCTTAGACACTTCTATTTGCATCATTCTCTTCAGACCTTGATGATCTATTTATCTTCTGTTCTGTGATGCACTTTGACATTCCATGCGGGGATTGGCGACGTCCTAAATAGACACGAAACTAAAGTTCATATATATATATATATATATATATATATATTTCCTTTTCAGTGACATCGAAGCAGTAAGGACATTGCGAACTTTGCTGTACACAAAACATGGTTACCGAGGTAAGTTGCTCAACCTGAAACCCACCTAGCTATGGCGTTATATAGTATTGAAAATGTCATTTATTCACAGTCTACCCATTTTTTTGGTGCTGAATAAGTCTCTCCACAGCGACTGAATCTAACAACACAAATAGTATGATGACCGACTGACCGACCGACCGACTGACGTTCAACCCTAGCGATAAACACCGGGTGACAAAATGTGCCACTTTTGGGATGAGAATCACCCTAGAGCCAGTCCCTAGAAACCCCGTTCAACTCCTCGATTATATTGAGGGCACCACAACGACAGTCTGATATGGCTTTAAAATAACAAAAACATTTTCGTCGACATTGGGAAGGGAATCAATTTAACTCGCTTGCGGCCGTACACAATTATTTAACACACTCGGCTTCCTTCACAGTGTTAAATAATTGCGCACAGGGTAATGGAAAGTGTATAGTTACAGCTAATCACTGTGGAAAGACATATGTGACGCTATATAAGGTCCGACAATTAACTAATGAGACTAATTCCACCAAAATTAAAATAATTAACATTTGAAGATATAACCTGTATTTTATTCAAACAAAGCCCCTTGCGCACTGATACACCAAGTGGCACAATCTAACAAACACTGGAACGATCTCTGTAGTTCTTCTGGGAAATGGGGTGGAGGCTGAGAACACATATTTGTTTTGGGGCCAACAATTCTTGTTTTGATGATGTCTTTTTGGTACTCAACCCGCTGATTTTTCTTGCCAAGATCTTGCACTAAAATGTATAAATCGTCTCTCTATTACCACCATATTCACCTGCCATCATCTTAACAGGAAAGCAAAGATCTTTTTGTATCCGTTCTCTGACTCTTACAAAGAGTTCATCATTATGAACAGACATTTGGCGTCCAGGTCTAGGTGCATTAATAATTATTTCTACACCACTTTTGAATCACGAATACCACTTGAAAAATTGTTTACGAGATAAACATGTATCCCCATAAACTTGTTGAATCAATTTATCTGTTTCAATGGCACTTTTTCTGAGTTTTAAAAAGAAGTTAATGTTACCTTTTTTCTCCGAGCTGATTACGTAACAATGCATCTCTGACTAGGTCAACACCATGGCGGCTTGTTTGTTGTCTGCTTCTCAAGCGGTGATGAAAAGTTGCCAGATCATTGATGAATGTTGTTTCTTTAGATTTCATGCTTTGTTTTATATGTGGCATTTGTGTCTTGGCCATAATAAAATCAGTCTCACTACTTAATTGTCTGACCTTGTATGTATATATATATATATATATATATATATATATATATATATATATATATATATATATATATATATATATTATATATATATCAACAAAGACACAATTGGATACGCCCTAGAGCAGTGCTTAGATGCCACCTGCTAAGAGGTGGATTGTTTTATACTCACCTAGGCCGACCCCGCTGAAAATGAGTACTATGAAATTTCTGAGCAGTAAAGGCGGTTTAGTGATATTAACCATGCCTATATAGAGTACTGATTGATATTTTTTTTTAATGGTTAGGTACTGTGTGCCTGAGGTGCCAACCTCATAAAAGGATCATTCACTTTACTTACTCTTACCTATGTGAAAATTGTAACGCATGACTACTGGCATAATAGACAAAAGTATTCGTTATCACTGCTTTTCTGTGACACCGAAGGAAAATGCATGCATAGTAATGATTATAATCCAAAAGTTAATCACTTTATTTAAGGTATATTGGCTCAATTCGGAATGTTAACTTTCGACACTGCACAATATGTAATTAGAAAAGTTCAACAAGGAAGGATACACAGCAGGCGTCTACCGGACATCAGTGGAAGATTCTCCGTCGACAACTGTTTCGACCCGTTACCATCCTAAACAATCTCGGATGCAATATATACCAAATTGTGCCTGTGTAGGGTCGGCTTATCGTAACTAATCACTTACTTCCACCAGTGCCAGCTTGAAAATTTGGTAGCGGTTGTTGGTGCTGGCATTTCAAGCAGCAGCCTTATGCATTTACTGCTTTGGCTTGTTTCCCGATTTCGCCATGGCTGACTGTCTGCTCACTATTTTCAAATGGGACATCGGGGAACATTCATTGTTCTAATTTTGACAACCACCGTAAAGAAGCAGCTATTGGGCTTTCTGTTTGCACTGAAGTTGAAACCTCAACTACTACTGATTTTTACTAGCACAGGAAGAAAGTAACTAAGGAGCTATTCGTTTGCCCTAAAGTTTAAAACTTAACTACTACCGCTTCGATATTAGAGTGCTTGAGGTTCGATCCTCAGTGACTATCGATTACTCGAAAAGAACCATAGATGCTGAATTACTTTTCTTCTGGGCTTAAATATTTAATAGCTGAATTGTAGTCGACGGGCCTGTTTCCTCACGCTACTGGGCTTCGGTGCTGATGTTTCAAATGGAAACTTATGTAGTAGGTAACAAGGGGATATACGTGTTTGGTATATACAAGTGAAAGTTGTTGAATGAAATGCCACATTGCGGTTTACAACAGTAAAGAATTCCTGAATTATACGACAGTTTGCGCGGGATCTCTGTCTCAAGGTAACAACTAACCTTGTTTGTCATTAATCAAAATTATATGATATATTTTCAAATATTGACCAAAGGCAAACACCCCCCCCCCCCCCCCCCCCCCCCCCCAATGGGATTTACAACAAAAAACTAAAATGATTAACGTGGCTGCCGAAACATTTGCTTGTTAGCTACATAGTGTATTCGCTAAACATTGCATTGCTTAGATTTAAGGAAATTATACTATTTGTTTTCTATTTACTATTTGATTCACAAAGAACCACAGACATATCTCACTTACAACAGTAGATACATATTGTAATGCTTGGCTCAGTGCATACCGTCGTCTATTCGGGCACATTGACAGATAATTCAAAACGACAAGCTTGAACAAGAGCAAAACGTCGAGAACACAAAACTGCTGACAATAAAATAAATGCTCATTGTTCTCTCGGTCAAAAAGGCGGAGGTTTGGTGTCTGGGGTAACAGCTACTCAAGAACAGTAGAATATACATTCACTACCTAACCACCTAACCAGGGTTATCATTTAAAGCCCTTCCAACGATTGGCACTTCAGTTCTCGTAAAATTGCATTCAAAACTGCCGGGACTTATAGCAGATGATTTTCATCCAGTGTGCAGGGGTTACCAGCATAGCCAAGTGTTCTCGGAAAAAGATCGGCAGCTTGATCACATATTGACATAATGCATGGATACTTTTAGTTGACGCTCTCAAAGCCCCATAGGACCGAACTCAATGCGAGGCTTTCTTACTTACTACGAGTGTAAATAATATGTTCTACTTCTCGTGTCTTCAAAGGTTTCACTCATAATTTCACGATTTCCTCGTCTGACATACTTAAGCCTAATTACACGTTTGTCTCGAGTTAGTATCACTTACTCGCTCTGTTTATGCATATATTTTATAAGTAGTCGTTGCTTTCCATCCGAAACTTTTTTCTTGCTAAAATCTTGCACTAAAATGTTATGAATGGTCTCTCTATTAACACCAGATTCATCTGTCATCATCTTCACAGTAAAATAATGATCTTCTTGTATTCGTTCTCTGACTTTTGCAATGAGTTCATCATTACAAACAGAAATTTGGCGTGAAGGTTTAGGTGCATTAGTAATAATTTTCACACCACTTTTGAATTGTGAATACCACATGAAAATGTTTGCACGAGATAAACAATTATCCTGATAGACTTGTTGCATCAATTAAACTGTTTTAATGGCGCTTTTTCTGAGTTTTAAAAAGAATTTAATATTAGCTTTTTACTCCGTACTGATTACGTAACAATGCACCTTTGACTAGGTCAACAAAATGCCTGCTTGTTTGTTGTCTGCTTATCGAGCGGCGATGAAAAGTTGCCAGATCATAGATGAATGTTGCCATTTTAGATTCAATGCGTTGCTTCATAGATGGTATTTTTGTCTTGGCCAAAATAAAATCAGTCTCATTACCTAATTGTCGGACTTTGTGTGTGGTATATATGTATATTATATATATATATATATATATATATATTATATATATATATATATATATATATATATATATATATATATATATATATATAAACAAATAGACAATGTATTGATCAGCGATTAGAAAAGTTACCAGCAATGGGAAAATGACTCCTTACTTATTTGAAGTTTTTTGAATGACATGGTAACAATAAAGGACTACAAATATGTAGGATTTATAACAAGAAAGCATCGAATATTGTTTAACTCTAGGGGTGTCGATTTGTAAAATATATAGAGTGTTGTCAAAGCTGCTTAGTCCCTGGTGTCTGGACATTTAATTCACACAATTTACTACAGTACTTCTATAGTGTTATATTCGTTGGCATAACATCATCAGAATAATGAAAGTGTACATTTTCAAAATATATGGTCACAAGAAACTGATGTGAAGTGTGTACTGTCCTACAAGAACTTAAACAGTTTTTGAACTTAAGTTGTATTGAAAAATTCTTAGAATGCCATGGATGAATATTTCCTTATCATCGATTGTCTTGCCCACTGGCAAAGACGATCCAGCTTCTCAAAATCTTGCAGTCTACCGGCTTGTACCAATTCGTTTGCTGACACCATACTATGAAACAAGTCTCCTCTTTGTTATCTTCCTCTTGTTAACATTCAGTTTTCATATGTTCAAGTTTTTCTCTTTTTATAACGTGGGCAAATATGATGACCTTCTCTTTCTGATGTTTTACAATAAATGGTCTTCGGGTTTTCAAAGAATCGGATGTCCTCTCCACAAATAGTCTCCAAAAAGCTCGGTGTTTCACCTGCATGTAAATTCTCACACTGCTAGGCATCCATCTCTTGATGTTATCCTACCGCCTATACCGCAGTCGTCTGTTTAATGGCTGGCTTTCATATTTTCCCTGTAAGATAGTTTTTATAAGAGTATGTCTTTTAGTATGGCCGATGAAGCTTTTTTTTTTTCTTTAAATATATTTAACCGACTTTTGATTTCATCTCTTGTCTCTTCCAATGATTTGGTTGTTTCTGGTTCCATAAAATACGACAGATTCTTCTGTATTTCCACATTGTCAATGACTTGGTACGACTGTCTAATTGCTTGTTTATCGCTGGCCTGCCGCTCCGAATGTCTTGGGTCCAAATCCCCATAGATTAGGACAATATCATCATCATCAGGTGCCTTGCCGACTGGCGTGGGCGATCATGCCTCTCCATAATCTGCGATCTCCTGCAGCATGTATCAGTTCGTGTGCCGACACACCTCCATGCCATGCAACAAGACTGTTAAGCATCTTCTCTCGTTGTCTTCCTCTATCCCTCCTTCCACAGATCTTTCCAGTGGTCACAACATGTTCTATTTTCCCTCTTCTCATAACATGGCCGAAAAACGATGACTGTCTCCTTCTGATGTCTGTGATAAGTTTCCTTCGGGCTCCCGTCTCTTTCAAAACCTCTTGGTTGCTCTTCTTGACTGTCCAAGGTATTCTAAACATTCTTCTGTAAAACCACAAAAATTGTTTGGCCTGCCTACCGATTGTCCAGGATTCACAGCCATATGTTAAAATTGGATGTATGTAGCAAGCAAGAATTCTTTTTCTAACTCTCAATGACAAGGATATAGGACAATATACTTCTTCTTCTTCACTTCCTCTTTTACCGCTGTGGGTGTCGAGGGAGATATAAGGTTCTGTTTCTAGCTCTTCTGGCTGCATCGACCATAGGCACATCGTGCTGTTGTAGAGTTTCTCTGATGTTATCCTTCCATCTTGTTCTTGGTCTACCCCGTGCTCTACGTCCTTCTTCTCTTTCCATGTATGCTTTGTATGGTATGGTGTCACAAGGCATTCTCTCTAAGTGGGCAAACCATTTCACTTGCTGTCTTTGTATGTAATCCAGAATTTGTTCTGTGCCGACTTGTTCTCTTATTATCTCATTCCTGATCTTATCTCTTATGGTCACTCCTACAGCCCTTCTCAGACATCTCATTTCCGTGGTTACTAATTTTCTTTTATGGTTTGTTGTGAGTGACCATGTCTGGCACTGGTAGCACAGAGTTGGAATAAATATGCTTTGAATAAGATGACTCTTTGTGTCTCTTTGGACAATATACACACACTATAAATATTTACCTAGTGTAAAACTAAACATTTACATCGTGTGCACACTATAATCATTACCATGGTATATACAATGTCTAGACATGAACGAGGTCTATACATAGTGTGAACATTAACATGATGTAAAACTATATATCAACATGATAAACACACACTATAAATAGTACTATGGTATACACACACACAAACACACACAAACACACACACGCACCGTACATTTGCTAACTAGCCAAATTATGCAGCAGTTTGGGCAAATTTAGTCAGCGTGTTATATTAATTGTTACAATAAATCCATGAATGGTTTTATATCCTAACAGGCGTGGGTTAAAACTGATCGACGCCGTGAAACAGCTCATTCGGAACAACCATCCGATGCCAGTGGTATTGGTGCAAAAACTTCAGAAGGTGGTGACAGGAAAAGTGTCTACAAAAACAATACGAAAGATGTGATATCCATCAGTTTTTCACGGGAACATTCTATCAGTGAAAATCAGACGGGCAGAATTTGCCACAGTGATATATCAATTTCTTCACTATCTGATTGCACTGAGAATAGGAATTTTCCAGGAAATGTCTGTAGAAATGATTCACTTTGCCAGGGTATAAAAGAAAGACAGTTAAGATTTACGAAACCTGGACAAATTTCTGTGGTTGATGATAGTGATGTGAACATAGGGGTGAAAATGTTAAACTCAAATGCAGCTGCTGCTGGAACCAAAGCGGAAATGACATCAAAAGATACAGCAATAAATGACCATCTCGTTAACACAAGTCCTCAGAATGCTGACGTCATTGGTGAGCCAATGTTTCTGGAAGTTCTTAGAGGCACGACCAGCATAGCCTCTTCTGAACTCGAGGAGTGTAGCTATAAACACTGTAAAGATAAAGACGATAGGATTATAATGTGTGGAGACCTCTCCAGTGTTACAGATATGCGGGGAAACCCGTGGGATACAAATGCCGGCACAGAATTTACAAAATCAGCAACGTATAAAACTCCACAGCAGGATCAGCTGTCAAGAGGCAACACGGATGTTACGGGAAGCAAAAGTAAAATACATAATAACAAAACACAAACGAAACCTAGTTATTCTGAACGATATGGTATTGACTCCAAATGTTATCCAGCAGTTAAAAAGAAGTCAGAAAACAGTGAAGTCCAGCAACGATCGGGACAAAATAGTCCCAAAAGCGGCTGTGTAAACAGCAGGAAAGGAAATCGCAGAATGACTGTCAGCGCCGGCATGGCGTCTAACAGGGAAACGATGTTCGGACGCAGGGCCAGTGTTATCAATATATTACCGGGTCACAACATGATGCTAGGCAACAAACTGATGGAGGATGACCCATGCCGGACATTGGATGCACAGTCTTATCTACCGGTCACGAAAGGCAGGCATCCATGGAGGCCAACTAGCGACGAGGATGCGCTTGAGCAGCCGCTCATGTGGAAAGGATGTTCACCTGTTAAAGTTGATGATGTTAACAACAACAGGGAGCACAAGTTTCAGTATGGCGATACGCCTTGGATAACACACGAGTCTGTTCCTAAAGGTACTTCAGCATTTGTCTGCCTGCCTGCTTGGGTATACCTCTTGCTTTCTGTTTGTTTAATGTCTGTGTGTCTGTCTGTCTGTCAATATCTGTGTTTTGATTTATTCAGAAAAAAGGAATTTCTGCTAATGAATTTAAATAATGCTACATCATTTATTAAATATTTTAATTCCTGACATATTTTACCTGCTGTTCTCATTTACCGCATAGTTTGATTAATTGAAACACAAAAATAATTTCTCTCGGTTGAAATATACAAAACACAGTTTAATGAAGACAACATGAAAGAAACTGGCTCACGAAGAGAACTGATTGCCCACATCAGAAAGAGACAATCTACTTTCTTTGGTCATGTGGTGAGAAGGAGAAAACTGGAGTACATCGTAGTGGTAGGAAAGTTGGAGGGGAGGAGAGGCAGAGGGAGACCTAGAGAACAGATGCTGGGCAGTTTGATATCTTGGCATAAAGCGTAATCTGTGTCAGACTTTATTGAAAGTACATGAGACGGAAGGTTGTGGATAGACCTGACTACCAACACCATACGGCGTGGGCTCTAAGAGGAAGTGCCTTCTCTGGTTACACTGTCTATTTCACTAATGGCATTTTAAAATAGTCTCATTCTTAGCAAGGAAGTTTAACATTTACAACATGCCCTTTTAATTTGCACCTGCTGCATTTTTCATCTAATCGTCACAGCTTTTGCCAGTTTTAGTAATCGATAATTTAAAGTGTAGTAACACAGAAGGCACAGTCCCTGGCATGCCGAGATTCAAGAAAATGATGTCGTATCGAAGAAATATGTTTCTTCCTCTTGTTCTTGACGTCTTTGTTACATCTTCACTCAGTTAAGAGTAGAGCCATTTAGGATATATTCTGCAACTCTATTTCCAAGCTGCTCTTCATTGATCAATGTAAGTTTATTGGTATTTACCTAATTGATATGTGCAGCTTTATTTGGTGTGCAGAGACACTGGTGGGATTGAAACTGAAGTGATCTTGTATCGAAAAACTAGAAGGGGACTACAAAAAAATGTTTTACTAACAATGCGTGTGTGTGTGTGTGTGTGTGTGTGTGTGTGTGTGTGTGTGTGTGTGTGTGTGTGTGTGTGTGTGGTTTTTATGTCGGCCTGCAAACGCTTCATGACATCGTCTTTTCGAATTATCATTTTCATCATCATGTAGCAGGTCTATTGCAAGCCATTGCTTTCTTCACAGTCTGCATGATAGACGATCGGCCTCTCGCCAGCTCTCCCCTCCCCCCCCCCCCTCTCCTCCGCCAGCCCTCATTTACTCTTATATTGAATTATTCACTTATATCCTGTGCACATCTTCGTGTTTGACGTCAGATCCAGAAGATTTATTTTGTTTTGCCTTTCCTTCACTTTCTCTTCTGACGTCATAAACCTCTAGAGCAGCGGTTCTCAACCTGTGGGTCTCGACTCTATGGTGGGTCTTCCCACCCTTTCACAGTTGTCGCCAAAGACCATAGAAAAACTATATTCACCGAAGTTATAAAGTGGCAATTAAAATGACTATGTGGTTGGGGGTCGCCACAACATGTGTTAACATTTTTTATTTATGTGAGAGAGTGTAGGTGTGTATGTAGATGTGAGTGTATGGGTGGGTAGGTGGATGTGTGTGTGGGTGTGTGTGTGCATAGGTGCCTGTGTGTGTGGGTAGGTGTTTTGAGTAAGTGGGATGGTGTGCTTGTGTATGTGTGGGTAATGTGTGTGTATTTGGTGTGTGTGTGTGTGTCTGTGTGTGTGTATGCGTGTTCAAAACTATAAACTGTGGCATATAATGAGAAGCATGGGATTTTCAAAACATCCGGTGCACTTAATGGAATCTTTTTTCTATAAACAACAAGCAGCAGTCAGAGTAGCTGGTGAAACATCAGAGGTGTTGGAAGTGCTGAAAGGAATGAGACAGGGTTGCATTCTTTCTCCGTCCCTTTTCTATATGCTGAAAATGTTTTGAGAAACGCAGTTGCGATGAGGCATGTGACACCTTTGGTCCACTAACAAATTGGAGGTAATCCTTTTCCAGAACTCAGATATGCAGGCGACACAGTTTTCCTATCCCAAAAAGTACAAGGTTTCGAAAAAATTATACCAGGTGGTCAAAAAGCACAGCTAAGAAGGGAATCTTTTTTCTGAATTTAAAAAAAAAAAAATCATATCCTCAGTAAATTCAGCACACCATTCACAAATCACAATCGAAAATGAAGACACAGAAAATGTCAGTACTGGGGCTCTTTAGCGGACAACAGTGGAAATGCTCGAAAGAAGTCAGAATAAGACTAGCATTAGCAATGCAGAGATTAAACGGCATGAAGAACCTATGGCAAAGCACCAGTCAATTAGTTAAAATAAAAATCTTGAGATCATGCATTTTTCCTGTGGCATCTTACGGTTGTGAGTCTTGGACTCTCACTCAATCACGGAAGAAAAAGATTGGAGATTTTGAATTAAAATGTCAATGAAAACTTCTCAGAATACCATGTGCATCAAGAAGAGGAAAAACATCGACGTTCTATACGAGTTAAACATCAAGGAGAACTGGCTCATAAACAGTGTCCTTTCCCGAAAGTTGAAGTATTTTGGCCACATCATTGATGATTGATGGAGGATGCAGTTTGTCGAAAGTAAGGCAGAGATCGACTTCCGCGAAGATGGATACAGGCCATTGAAGATGCGTTGGTATTGAATGCAAATGAGACTGGAAAGCTGGCAAGATAAAGGGATGTGCCCTGAAGAGAGCGATGTGCTGTAAAGGACATGCTGATTGATGATGATGTGTGTGGTAGTGTTATGTGGGTGTGTGTATATGGGTATGTGTGTATGGGTGTGTGTATGTTAGGCTATAAGTGTGCTGACATTTTAGCGTACTCTGTTGAAACCCCATGATGGTTTTACAGATTGCACTCCAGGAAATACCATAATTTTAAGTGTAACTCCAGATACCGGTCGCAGTCAGAGTTCGGGAGGGAGAGACTCGATGTACCCGGTGTTGACCAGGGGGTTCAGCCCCAGAGGGACAGCGGTTAAAACGGACATGGCTTCGTCACTCTGGTTCACGGTCAGGCAGGCCATTCTCTGTGGTCACCACAAGAAGGCCCTAACGTCAGGAGCACGTGAGTAGTTTGTTTGGTCGCAGTGCTGGAGCACCTGAAATATGTAGATTTACAGATGGTAGGTAAGTGCTGTGAAAAAACAAAAAATCGTCACGTTCAACCGACATCGCCAAATGGGGAGCTCTAAGTTGTAATTGTGACTAGTTTTATATGCGCTATATAAAATTGCTAAGCGTTGCACACCCCAAGAGCTCTGAAAAGGACTCCTGCAGTGTTGATGCGATAAAGAGACAGACCCGAATACGAAGTCGTCTACCGGATAGCCAATGGGCGACCCGGTCGAAGATGAAAGTTTATGGCACATTATCTCAGGTTTGTATCAATTCAGGAAGCCGCCGTGGTTTAGTGGCTATGAAGGTCGTAGGTTCGAGTCCTGACGAAGCCAGACTTTTTAAAAAAGGACCTTGGCTCCCAGGTCGACCTAGCTTTGAGTGGGCACCAGGTAAAGACCTGGGAAGTAAATGCGGCCGGAAAGATGCTGACCATATCACCCACCAATTGCCGATTGGTTTGTAAAATATCAACCTAATATGCCCAGAATGACTGAAGGCGTAGACACGATTTCTTTACTTTATTTACTTTACTTTTATTTATTTTAACTAAAACGATTTAAGCTGAACTTAGAGCCCTTTAAAGCAGCAGTTCTCAATTTGCCGGTCGCGACCCTTTTTTGGGGTCCAACGACCCTTTAACAGGGGTCGCCTAATACCATCGGAAAACACACATTTACCGAAGTCATGGAGAAAAAACATTGTTGGGGATGGCCTCAACATGTGGGAACTGTTTTAAAGGGTCGCGGCATTAGAAAGGTTGAGAGTCACTGCTATAGAGGATTAAACGGAGTATACAATGTACACTTTTTTTTTTTCTTCAAAGTTTTGTCGGATTAGCTGGTGTAATTTAAGGGACCTTCGGACTTTGTTTAGTTTAGTTTAGAGTTAAATCAAGTATAAATCCGATCCCAGTGCCGTGTGGTAGAGCGTGGCTGGCACGTTCAGGCGTTTGATTTCCAAGACGGCGTTCAGAGGCACAGTTTACTTGTAAAGTTCTTTCGGATTAACAATCCTACGAATTTTAAAACGTTCAATTACATGATTCACGTTTAAACGTAACCTATAATCTATTTAGCTGTATTTTCTTACAGCGTGTCAATTAATCTACTGCCTTTTCTCTTGCTGATCGACAAGACTCTAAATAATCCTCTTTATTCTATGTCAGCAGCTGATAAGAATGTTCAAACGTCAGTTAACGCACAGCAGCCTCAAGTGTACACGCCTAAAGTAAGACGATCTGCCCCATCGAAGACGGTCTTCAGAAAGTTTGACAAGCCACAGCAAACGGATACTAAGTAAGAAACATGAGCGAACCTTGCATGTTAGCAAGTGTAATTGACAGTGTTGCATCTCTCTAGTGTCTCCAGTTGGGACTAGAAGTGCTTGTGTTTATGTGTCTGCAAAGGCTGCATTGTGTTTCCTCACAGTGGAAAAGATTCTTGTGTATCTGTTAGCAAGTGTTCCGAAGTTTACTTGTTGGTTATTGTCTTTGTAGCTCGTCTTCTTCTTCTTCTGTTTCTTCTTCTGTTTCTTCTTCTTCTTCTTCTTCTTCTTCTTCTTCTTCTTCTTCTTCTTCTTCTTCTTCTTCTTCTTCTTCTTCTTCTTCTTCTTCTTCTTCTTCTCCTCCATCCACTTTAAGAATCCTTACTGGAAATCGTCTCCCCGCCAGAGGTGGATGAACAGCCATGATGTTCCGCCTGGAGTTTACAGCCATTTAACGCGAAGAAGAAATATAAGGTAAATTATGTAGACAACATGTTGACTACATTAGCCATCGACTGAGAAGGGTATTTCACTTTATCTATACGATTGGTAAGTCATCTCTATACATAATGGAAACAGCAACCAGTGACATACATAACTCTGAAGCTACGATACAGACAGATAAGGGTTCTGCTAATTCAAAGCGCCCCATGATACACGCTGTGTAATATCAGAAACACCCCTACGAACATCATCATCATGTAGCAGGTCCTTTGCAGAATGTCGCTCTCATCACGGTCGGCCTGAAAGAAACTAGGTCTCTTCTGGGCCCATCTTCATGCTGATCGGCCCCTGCTCCTCCTTACTGGTACTAGCCTTCTGTTATTTATTTTTCTAATCCGCTATGGCGCTTGATATGACCGAAATATTTCAGCTTCCGAGACATGCAACTATTTATAAGACAATCTTACTTGATGCTCAAATCTTCTAAAATGTCAGTGTTTCTCCTCTTCTTTGTCCATGGTATTCTGAAAATCTTTCCATAGCCCTTCAGCTCAACAGCCCCTATTTTTCTTTCTTAAGGACTACCCCTACGGTACCTTCATTATTACATTATTGTCAAGAATGAAAGATTATTCCTGTCCTCTGTATCTGCCAATTACCTCCTTTATTGTACCACTTTTTGCGGTGGAGGCAAGGGGTCTTTGAGTCTGAGGAGTTACGGCCGCATGGCTAGTGCTGTCGCCACGACTATGCAGGTGAGGCTTTTATTATGCCCCCGACAGAAACAAATCCCCAGCCTCACCGAGGATTCGAACCTGGGTCTCCCACTTGAGAGCCTGGCGTTCTAACCGTTCGGCCAGCCGCTCCTCCTTCTGTATCTTATGGTTTTAAACGAAGGATTGAAACGTTGGGTGGGGAAAAGACATTTATGTTGCTGCAGTAGATTTTCGTTTTTTTTTTTTTTTTTTTGTCTAGAAATGCGTCGACAGAAGGAGACGGTGAGTCGCATGCAGCGCCAGCAACGAGTCTGATAGAGGATCCAATCCTAGTGAAGGTAGACGTGTGTCTGTTTTAGTGTTGACTTGTGATGTCAGCAGGTGTCCCATTATCTTTCCTTTGGGTGTTTTTAGATTTCGTTTGTTTATGGTAGTGGCCGTATTGGGGTGACTAGACGCTCGCCTTACAATTGTGCAGATGCTGCTATTTTGTTAAAGCGGCGATTCATTACATGGCTTGTTCCTTGGAGAAATATTCATGCCGGATAGTTACCATTTGCACTCCTATGTAAACTAGACTTTCAAGAATGCCACTTTTAGAGCGAAGTTCCGCACAGGACCCTTCTTTACTTAATGGTGGTAGTAGTGGTGGAGGCATTAGCACAAACTGCTAAGTTATCCAGAGACACTGGTGTGTCGGGGTCAAAGTTGATGCCTACCAAAACTGTACTTGCATTAATATCTTTTTAGTCTGGTGAGAGTGATGCAGTGAGGAGTGACGAGGGCATCTGGCCGATACTCGACGCTCAGAGAAAAGGTAAGACAAACGTATAATCGCAATGCTACTGGCACCATTAGCACTGGAACTCTGCCCTGGCTGCTGAAGATGTGGACGGAGCGTTTATGAGAATGCCCCGAGTTCTGTAATGTCGGCTCTTGACTCAACTCAACTAGTTAAATTCTCAAACGAACGCATTTTGCATTAAGGATGCCAATGGACATTTGCTATAGAATAAGATCGATAAACACACCTCGGATAATATCTTATGTTTTCACATCGTTTACATTTGAAATGATCAGAGAGTTTTTTTTTTATTTCTTATCTGCCATAGAAAGAGCTGCTAGCGGAGTTTACTTTGTTTTGTGTAAGTCTCTTATCCTATGTAAGACGCTTTCTGTGCCTTTTATTGTATTTAAACAGCACCAGAAATATATATGGGTGGCGTCTGTGGCTTAGGCGTTGCGAGTCCGACTGGTAATTCCAACGTACCACGATCGAAACCCACTGCTAGTTGCGTGGATTTGTATCATGGTATGGTGCGTCGCAGGTCGACCCAGCCTAAAATTGGTACCAGGATGGCTGTCCTGGGAAAGTAAAGACGGTTGGTGTAATGCTGACCACATTACCCACCTAGTGCCAATAAGTGTCTAAAAATATGGGATGCTCTTCTCATATACCCGATGCGCCTAAGGCGTAAAAAGAGATATTTACTTTTTACTTACTTTATAAATAAATATATTAGGAGCGCTCTGCAATAAGATTTTATTAACAGCGTTGGCCTTATTGAAAAGTAATTGCCTCGAGTGTAGACTGGCCGAAAAGGTAGAGGCGATTACTCAGTATGCCTTCTGACGTTTTACTTACTTTACATATGTTAAAGAGTAGCGGTTGATCGAGGGATTTGATCTTAGAACACCGAGTTCGAATTCTCGATAAAGTGATGGCACTTGCTTTCTCTTTCGGAGACAAAAATAAAAATCCTTACCTCAACCGTTTCTTTATAGCCCGAACAAGTGTTATAAACAGACAGTAGTGATAGTTTATGTCTTACATACTCTAAGACCTCAGCATCGTTTTATTCTACTGTTTGCAGGTCAGTAAAAGAAATCGAAATGTAGGCAAATTCACATGCCAACCTGACCCCTTGCCAAATGCTGTCTGCTTTGAGATACCAGGAACAGGACTGAGACACCAGGACGTCAAACAGCAAGTGGAAAGTCTGCTTAAAAAATTCCCCGAGGTAACTCTTTTCTACACTGTATTTTTTTTTTTAGTATCTTAGAGATATCGTTTTGTGTGTGTATGTGTGGGTGTGTGTGTGTGTATGCTTGTATGCATATATATATATATATATATATATATATATATATATATATATATATATATATATATCATCATGATGTAGCAGATCTTTTGCAGAACATCGAGGACTATGCCTTCTGCTATAATTTTTTCCAATCTGTCGTGGTGCTTGATATGACAAAAATATTTCAGCTTCCGACATAAATATATTTATCTATTCTGTATGTGTGGTTGGGTAGGTATGCCAAATTATGATCTTCCGAAATGAGGGCACTCCCATATTTTGATCTTTTGAAATGAGGACACTTCAGTATTTTGATCTTCCGAAATGAAGGCACTTCCATATTTTGATCTTCTGAAATTAAGGCACTTCCATATTCTGATCTTCTGAAATGAAGGCACTTTCATATTTTGATCTTCCGAAATGTTCGTGTTCCGTCCCAGCTGCAGGCGATTTAGCAGCAAAATGTCTTGCCTTGGTTTCGACTGTGGTAGCTAGAGCCGACCTTTTAGAGCAATGGCAAAATACTGAAACTAAAGTTTGCCCTGAAAACCCACAACAGTCGAAAAATAATGTGGTTGGTTCTGCAACGTGCTCTAAAAGATATACAACTGACTTTATTTTTATTTTATTTTTTTTTTTTTTTTGGTCACTCAAAAATCTGATCGAAATTTCGACATTTTCCCACATGTCATCAAAATTCACCCATTTAAAACATGAAAATTACTCCGTATTTGGAACCACATCCTTAAGTATTCCAAGCATCCATCATAAAAATGCTTGCTCTTTATGACAGGACACTTTTACTTTGTCTTCATGGCCATAATTTCCAAATCTTTGATCATTTATTTCACTTTCAAGAGAAAGTATTTTGTGGTGCTGTTGTTTCTAAAGCATTTGCAATGATAAGATAACTTAAATTACATTAAGGAATGAATTCTTTCCCCTTTCTGTTTCACTGATGTGATGAGAATGAAATACACTGATTACTGACAGAACATAGTGAGAATATACTCCACTTGAAGCATTTTTTAAAGCACCTAGTTCTAAGACACCCCCCCCCCCCCCCTTTTACACAAAATAATAATGTTCTCAACGCTAGAAACATGTAGGTAATTATCTCAGTTGCTACGAATAAAGACAAACAACGTTTTTACTTGATTTAATTGATGAGTTGTCTAATTCTGTTTGACTATTTTTCAACAACATACAGGTTAAAATTATTGGCATCCAGTTTCACAATAGAGCCTTGGTAAATAACCAACGAGAAATGAACAACAGGTATTTATTTCTTTATTGTGTTATAACATTGTCCCTTTTTGACGCTATTAGGCGGATTAGACATATACTGCTACACCTGTGTGTTTTTTTTTTCGACCAATCGGCACTCAGGTGATGCGGTCAACACCACGCCGGCCACCTTTACTTCCCAGCAATTTAACCTCGTACCATTTTAAGCTAGGTCGACTTGGAAGCCAATGTTATGTTTGAAAAAATCCAACTCTATGTGGATTTGAACCCATGATCATCGCATCCGCAGGAGAGCGTCCAGCCTCTACATCACGGCTGCACCCTGTAGTAACATGGCACTGAAGAAAAACAAACATTTTTTCTATAAATCAGTTCTCGGAAATTTAGTACGTAAAAAACACTGGCTCTAATTGATAAGGTGCTTCACCCGAATCTCGAGGGTAACTCTTCTTCCTCTTCTTCTTCTTCTTCTTCTTCTTCTTCTTCTTCTTCTTCTTCTTCTTCTTCTTCTTCTTCTTCTTCTTCTTCTTCTTCTTCTTCTTCTTCTTCTTCTTCTTCTTCTTTTGCAGCTACTGCTGCTGCTTTCGTTTGCTTGAAATAGATTATCTAAATCTGCAGTGTTGTCTCTATTATGAACTTTACTGTCGTAATTCAGTCTGCGGGCTGTAAAGTTTGGCTGACACTGGCGTTACTTGTGGCAAAAAGTTGTGCATTGATATGCTGTACCTGGGACAGTATTGGAGGTCGTGATCTGTTGTCTGCGGTGTTAAATTTTCTGTACATGTCACTGAGAAGTCGACTGTATCCTGTTCTAAGATATAAAATAATGACTTGCTCTGGTCTGTCCGTTTTATGGTAATTGTCTTTTGCCGGTTTCGGCGGCTCTCTGATTGATTTGATTATTCTTTTCTTCTGTTGATGAGAGACTGGTACGTCAGGTTGTTCTTCATTTGCACGTTCCTTAGCTAGTTTATCAACTCTTTTATTTCCGGTAACACCACTGCGTGATGGTATCCACTGTATAGCTACCTCACATTGGTTGCCCAGCTCAGAGAGTAGTTTCCGAAGACCTAGTAATTTTCAAGATTTGATTTCCTAAAATACGGCTCTTGCATCTGTCAGGAATACTACGGGTTGTGAAATATGCGATCTTCGCGTACCTCTGAATTGACGCTTGCTACTCTGCACGGAGCATGCCTGACTCCACCTTTCTCAACATGCTCTGTGAATCAGTTACAATTACTGCATGTGTGTACAGCTGATTCTTAAGCCAGCGGAATGGAGCAGTGACTGCCTCCACCTCCACCTCCATTCTCAAACTAAACATTGTAATATCATATGCTGGGCTTTGTTGCACTAGGCGTCGTCTACTCGCTTTTGCTATGAACCCCCATGCACCCCCCCCCCCCACACTCCCCCATGTCTGCAGTAATAGTCAGTACAAGCATTATCGCATACATACTACCGGGGTATCTCTTGTACATTCCATAATTACCCGCATGACTTCACTCTGTATGCGTTTAAGTTTCATGAGGTGACTGTTTGATATGGTAAGCATTCCAAGGTCATAATCTATCATTGACAGGATCGCGTGCTAGAACATTGTGAACGGCATTCTTTTTTTTTTTTTTTTTTTCTTGTCTATGGACCAGAGAATACCCCGATTTTGCATCATCGTTCCGATATAGCAGGCAGTTTTCGAGAAAATGGCTTGCAAGTGTGTTCATAAGATGTTGAACGAACTATAACAATGATTTCCGATATCCGGTGTAGGGCACGCAACTGTGTGTAAACTAAAAGCTGTTTTCTCATTGTCTAGAAATATCGTCTCAATATGGGACGCAATTTTTCGTTATTTTAAAGCCCCACTCCCGGCTGTTTGGCGTGATGCTGGCCACATTCCCCATCTAGGTCTATAAAAATATAGGTCGAGCCCTATATTCCCAATACGCATGAAGGCGTGGAAAAGCGACCTTTTTTTTTTTTTTTACTCCTGGCTGATGTTGTGGGCCCTAAAATAACCCAGCTTACGGGTTGAACGTGGTTTCTGGAACCTGTCCCTGACTGATCCTCATCCGAATGGTGGCATTTTCTTTCACCGGGTGTTTATCGCTCAGTGTGATGTCCTGGTGGGTTTGAACCTCAATCAATCTTTTCTGACTGTCATACAGATGGATCATCACGACCAACTCCAGCGTGGGCTGCAAACTCCTCGTTGGAAACAACCTCATCTTTGATGACTACGAAGCCCAGCTGCGGCTGTATGACGAAGTGATCAGTACGGAGTACCAGCAGTTTGTGCGAATGACGAACTTTGTCAAGATGATGGACACGAGGAAAATTCTGTCATAGTCAAATAAACTTGAAATGCTATTGGGGAAAGTTAAGGAAACATTGAAAATAGTATTATAATATTTTTTTAACTGTTAAACTTGAATAGTTGGATAGAATAAGAAGATAGCGCCTTATTTTTGACAGCTGGCAAGAGGTTATAAACCGTTAATTCAATCTGATTAGTAAGATGGATCTCGAAGATGGTAACCTAATCTGGATGGCTCTTGAAGACAATAATTCAGCCTGGTTAGCGTGATAAATCTTGTAGATAGTAATTCATTCTGGAGAGCTAGATAGATCTTTTAGATAGAAACTCAATCTGAAGAGATCTTGAAGACAGTCACTGAACGAGGATAGCTGGATAGCTTTTGGAAACAGTAAATCATTCTGGATGGCTGAATAAATCTTAAAGACACTGACTGGCGCCATTAGCTGGATAGATAGATCTCGGATAATTGTAAGTTTGGCATGTTTCCCATTGAATCATGCTGTCATAATTCTCTCAATAATTGGATGCCACTAGATGAGATGTTTGTGCATACCTTTCTTTAAAATGAGTGCCACGCCTGCAGAATGTAGGTTATCATCTCTTCCAGAGTATATTATGGTTTCTCCTGTGCCTGTTGTGGATTGTCCAAACCCTGTCCACCTGCTTTCACTAATTCCAAGAATATGCAGTTTATAGTTCTGCATTTTTTTAATTTACTTGGACGGTTTTGGCCGTTTCAAACATGGTTCTTACGTTTCAGAAGCCAATTTTTAATTTGGTTTTGACATCCAGCAGACTTGTTTTTCCATCATGGATAGGTTTTGGAAACAGTAAATCATTCAGGATAGCTGAATACATTTTGAAGACACTGACTGGAGCGATTAGCTGGATAGATCTCGAAAACAGTAATTTAATCTGTATGGCTGAAAAGATCATGGAGACGGTCATTCAAACGGGATAGATTTACAGATCTTGAAAACATACATTTATTCAGGACAGCATGGTAGTTCACGGAGACAGTGATTGTGTTGTTCTTTCATACTTTTTTCCCCCTTTTGGGGTGAACGCAGATGAAGAAGTGGAAGTAGCCATTTTGACGACAGCCACCTTTACTTCTCATGCAAATTCGGTAGTACCTATTTCAAATCACCATTTATGGCTGTTATGTTAATAATTGCAGCGAAATGCTATATATACACAAATAAACTAAAAACACATGCAAAATTACTATTTCAAATGCTTTCTTTTTTTTATGTAACAAGTATATATGGATACATTTTAAAGACAGTAATAAAACAGTACCTCGTTAAAATTCTAATTCCACTTCTGTGTGAAAGTTCACATTTGTAACGAATTGCTGGTAACAAAAACATATTGAAAGAAACAAATAAAAATACAATCTAAAATCATGTGTTAGTCGTGTGGGTTTCTTTTTTTTTTTTAGTTTTCCAATGTGTGATTTACTTTTCTAGTTCGTCGTCGTCTTCTTCGTCTTCTTCTTTTTTCTTCTTCTTCTTCTTCTTCTTCTTCTTCTTCTTCTTCTTCTTCTTCTTCTTCTTCTTCTTCTTCTTCTTCTTCTTCTTCTTCTTCTTCTTCTTCTTCTTCTTCTTCTTCTTCTTCTTCTTCTTCTTCTTCTTCTTCTTCTGCTTCTTCTGCTTCTTCTTCTTTTTCTGCTTCTTCTGCTTCTTTCTTCTTCTTCTTCTTCTTCTTCGCGTTCACCGGCTGTAAACTTTTGCGGAAAGTTTTATTATCTGGCCTATTTACCTGTCACCCGTCGGGTGCATACCAAAGTGACATCTATTTTTTGTGCCTTCTTTGCTTAAATTCACAGCATGGAAACTTTGCTTCGACCAAGTTTAACGGCAACAGTGGTAGTTTGGTGACGATAATGGTGATGATGATAAAGATCGTGTAAGCGAATCATGTTCAATCCAACAAGGACCACACAATGGGCGATTATCGCCCGATGACAGAAAGTGCCACCATCCGGATGAGAACTCCCCGGGTACAAGTCCCAGAAACGCCATTCAACCGTTATGTTATATTAGGGCTCCCCGACTACAGCCAGGATGGGCTTTGGAATAACACAACAAAATGTCCGTACTGGGGCAAATTTAAACATGATGATCAGAATGACGATGATTAGGAGGAGCAGTAGGATGATGATGAGGAAGAGGGAGGATGAGGATGCTGATGAAAAGGAGGATGATGATGAGGAGAAAGAGGGGAGAATGAGGATGATGATGATTAGGATGAGCAGGAGGATGATGATGATGAGAATCATGATGAGGATGAGGATGACGATGAAAAGGAGGATGATGATGATGAGGAAGAGGGGAGGATGAGGAGGAGGTGATTGATGTTGAGAAGAAGGGTGATCATGAGGATGATGATGATGAGTAGGAGGAGGACGATGAGAATGAGGATGATGATGATGATAAGGAGAAGGAGAACGATGATGATGATGATCAAGATGATGATAATGGTGATGCTGACGAGGGTGAAGATGAGGCTTATAATGATGATGATGACGATAATGATGATGATGATGGAGGAAGAGGGGAGGATGAGGAGGAGGTGATTGATGTTGAGAAGAAGGGTGATCATGAGGATGATGATGATGAGTAGGAGGAGGACGATGAGAATGAGGATGATGATGATGATAAGGAGAAGGAGAACGATGATGATGATGATCAAGATGATGATAATGGTGATGCTGACGAGGGTGAAGATGAGGCTTATAATGATGATGATGACGATAATGATGATGATGATGAATGATTGGTTTTCGTTTTAGAACAAGTCGAACTGGAAGCGCACGCAAACCACCAGACAGGCAGGCAAAAGCTCCACCCTAGTAAAGCAAAAGTAAACGACTCTTTCCCCACATCAGTGGCGCACTCGGTATATGATGCTAAGACTCCTATGTTTCCTCTGCCCTACAGTTGATGAATATCTCGCGCAATCACTTGTCAGATTATAGCGCATTGGTGTCCTCCCCCAGTGGGACGCAATTTTTCGTTATTTGAAGTCCGACCCTGGCTTTTGCCGGGGGGGAGGGGGGGGGTCACAAAATATTGCCCAGCCATAAAAATGGCCTTATCGGCTGAACGGGGTTTCTGGGGCCTCTCCACGGGTGATCCTCATCCGCGTTGTGGCACTTTGTGTCATCGGGTGTTTATCGCTTTTGTGATGTCCTAGTGGGGTACAGTTTACTTACTTATCAGGAGAAACACTCGCAGTAACTGTAACCCAATTCAGCTATCAAATAATGTGTGGGTTCTGTCCCTTATCCTTAGCTTTAAAATACAAATGAATGAAAATTACTTGTACAGGATATGATTTACAGCAAACTGCAAACCAACCCTAGCTTTTTTTTTTTCTTTTTTTTTTTTGTGGTTTTACTGAGAAATTTTATTTTCAGTAGTTTGCCTCTACTTCGGACGAATTCAGCTAAACTGAACCCGGTAAAGGTTGGGCAACAGAATTTAAGAAATACTCGTTCCATGCAATTATTTTTTCTAGCACCATCACTCTAATGAAAGTAGACTGCAATGATTCTTATAAGATTTATGCTTCGTCTTCTTATTCTTCTTCTTCTTGGGGCAAGGTGTCTGCCTCGAGTACTGGAGGTTCAGGGCTTAATCCCCGGTAAGTGCTATGATTTTTTTCAAGTGCTCTTGGACTTCTAATAATTTTCCCTGGTCTCTGAGTAGTGAGATCGGATGCCCGTGTGCATTGTTGCGCACGTAAAAATTCCATGGCAGTTGAAAAACGAAAATAGTAGCCTAACAGCGCTGATCAGGAAAAAATTGGAGCTTAAAATCTACCCACAGTATTTCAGGATCCTTGCCAGTGTTACAGAGCCTGTGCAATTTGCTAAGCTTTTCGGACTCAGACTTGAGTTAGAAGAAGAACGGAGAATTGTGGGTCACTACCCGTATGCCATGACGTTGGTTCATTGTTCAAACTTTAAACTTAAATTTTTATTATTACTATAATTATAATAATTATTATTTTCTTCTTTTTATGCGTTCTTCTTTAAAAGGGTAATTAGTACGTTCGTTGTGTTATGGTTTACAGCAGAACGTTTTTTTTTGTGGGGGGGGGGGGGGGGGTCTTTTGCCCAATACATCGGATTTTATCAAGCCCTAAAGCAGTCGGTTTTCACAATATGCTTGTTAGGATACAGTAAGTGTTCTATTTTTACACCAATATCAGGGTTCTGGGACTCACATGAACATTGTATCTTGACTTGCCTGTGAATTAAGGCGAGCTTTTGTCTGTCTATCTCATTGTATCATCTTCCATCTTGTTGCCTATCGGGTGCCTGACTGCATTCAACTTAAACATTCTTGTCGCTTGATAAGACCGTTATCTCTTAATCTAAAGCAAAACTTGTATACTTATCAACTCAACAACATTAGACAGCAGCCTTCCTCCTAACGTGAGGTTTCAAATAGTGTCTCTTGAGTTGAGTCTCTTTAAATCACTTTGCGTTTCAGACAGCAAGCATGGAAAGCTTTGTGTGTGTGTGGGGGGGGGGGGGTTCTTCTATAGTTTATGCCATGCGGCTTTGGTAGTCATGTCTATCCACAACCCTCTGTCTTGTGTAAAAAGTGAAAGTAAAGGACCTTTTTCCAGTCCTTTCCTTGGATATATAGGGCTAAGGTATTAAGTATATAGAGCTAGATCTATATTTTATAGACCAAACGACACTTGGTGGGAAATGCGGTCGGCATCACGCCAGCCGCCTTTACTTCACAGGACTGTACCTGATGCCCACTCAAGGCTGGGTCGACCTGGGAGCGATGATATAGAGAGGAGAATCGGCACAGTAACAATACTGTAGGCAATAATAAATCAAATGGTTTGGCCACGTAACCAGATTGACACAAAACAGGGCAACACAGAAAGCTATTTAATACAGATACAAAGGTAACAGATCTAGAGGTTGACCACACAGACGATGGACCGCAGAAATAAAAGAGACACTCAAAAGCACTATACACAAAGTGAGCAGAAGGAC